GTGCAGCAGGTGAAGGGGTCTGTCCCGTCCCGAGTGCAGGGCATGAAGGGGTTGTGTAAACACCGGGAGCTCTCTGCACATTTTTCCGTCGCAGGTGAATCCCTGAAAGCTCCTGTTGTTGCTGCAGTTATATGATCGAGTCTCACTCCGGTTCAAACTCCTGTTTCACTGGAGCCAAGATCACAGGGTTCTATGTGTTCTGTTATAGCTGGGGTCTATCTCACTTTGTGTTTTATCAAATATAAATGTGTGTTACAACAGAAATGCTTGTTAAATGTCTTTGTCTTCATAGAAAACATGTGATAGTTTGTATATTTGTAAGAAAGATCCCAATGCGTCACTGATTTGATGATTTGTGCTACAATACATTCCTTTGCATAATTATTACTATTTTTACATTCATTAATTCTGTAAGCACATTTGTGAGATCTGTTTTCAACAACTGAATTCTGAACATAAACCTGATTCCAAATGTGTGATTAAAAGACAGGAAATGCATTAAAGGGGTCTAACTCTGTGTCAGTTTGTGAAACCAAATCAAAGGCTAAAAAACCAAAACGTTATGCAGTCAATCTTAATATAGATTTGTAGGGGACGACAACATAATGAAAAACAATTTACCAGTGTGCATAGTATAATTACCATGTGCATAATTACCATGTGCATAATATTTCACTGCAACATCACTTTCTCTCTGAGCAGCGTTTTACATCCTGCACTAATGAACCCGAAAACACAAACCATCTCTCAGGGCTGAAGTGTAAAATGTTTGGCGCTGTCTGGAGACTGGAGCTGATGTGTTTTTAATAGTTTTCAGACGTCCGCCTGGCTCGAGATGATACTGTATGTGTGGCACTTTGAAATATGTCATTTCAGAGGTACTATATACTCAGGGATTGGAGGGCCACAGACTAAACTGTGCTAAAAATGTTTTATAATGACGGCTTTGAACTGAGCAGAGAGTTTTCAAAGCAGTGGGAGGAGAAAAGGCTTTATATGATTTAAGACTGGGTAAATGAGATTAGACATGCACACATCGGAGAACGCTATAGGACTTAAAATAGAACTACATTAACTAATGTTAATTAGTTGAAGCTGGGGTAAATTAATGTTCACCTGTTTTTCTCCTTCTCTCACATCTTTATGTCAGCATTTTCAGACAAGAAAGTGGAAAAATAGAAAAGCTGACATCTCTGAGCCCAAAGCATCAAAATGTGACATCACTGTTAACATCATTTGACTTTTATAATACTATCATCATGCATTATGGATGAACAAAATAAGTTACAAAACCCAGCTTTAAGGAAGTATTTTCTTTACCTTTTGTTGGTGCACTTTATAAAACAAAATAGGTGTATTGTCTCCAAATGCTGGTCTGGTTAAAATTATTAAAAATAACAGATACACAAACAGCACAACACGTCATCATGTATATTATATTTGGTTTGCCTTATGCTCTTCGCCAGTCCATGTACATGCACCTCCTTCTATTCACCCACTCACCCTGATGTCTCTCTCTCTCTGTCTCCTATTCACCCGTTCATCCTGATGTCTCTCTCTCTCTGTCTCCTATTCACCCGTTCATCCTGATGTCTTTCTGTCTCCTATTCACCCGTTCATCCTGATGTCTCTCTCTCTTATTCACCCGTTCATCCTGATGTCTCTCTCTCTCTGTCTCCTATTCACCCACTCATCCTGATGTCTTTCTGTCTCCTATTCACCCGTTCATCCTGATGTCTCTCTCTCTCTGTCTCCTATTCACCCACTCATCCTGATGTCTTTCTGTCTCCTATTCACCCGTTCATCCTGATGTCTCTCTCTCTCTGTCTCCTATTCACCCACTCATCCTGATGTCTTTCTGTCTCCTATTCACCCGTTCATCCTGATGTCTTTCTGTCTCTCTGTCTCCTATTCACCCACTCATCCTGATGTCTTTCTGTCTCCTATTCACCCGTTCATCCTGATGTCTCTCTCTCTCTGTCTCCTATTCACCCACTCACCCTGATGTCTCTCTGTCTCCTATTCACCCGTTCATCCTGATGTCTCTCTCTCTCTGTCTCCTATTCACCCGTTCATCCTGATGTCTCTCTCTCTCTGTCTCCTATTCACCCGTTCATCCTGATGTCTCTCTCTCTCTGTCTCCTATTCACCTACTCACCCTGATGTCTCTCTGTCTCCTATTCACCCGTTCATCCTGATGTCTCTCTCTCTCTGTCTCTTATTCACCCGTTCATCCTGATGTCTTTCTGTCTCCTATTCACCCGTTCATCCTGATGTCTCTCTCTCTCTGTCTCCTATTCACCCACTCACCCTGATGTCTCTCTGTCTCCTATTCACCCGTTCATCCTGATGTCTCTCTGTCTCCTATTCACCCGTTCATCCTGATGTCTCTCTCTCTCTCTGTCTCCTATTCACCCACTCATCCTGATGTCTCTCTCTCTCTCTGTCTCCTATTCACCCGTTCATCCTGATGTCTCTCTCTCTCTCTGTCTCCTATTCACCCACTCATCCTGATGTCTCTCTCTCTCTGTCTCCTATTCACCCGTTCATCCTGATGTCTTTCTGTCTCTCTGTCTTCTATTCACCCGTTCATCCCGCTTTCTCTCTGTCTCCTGCTAACCCTAAGCCTGTGTCTGCAGCTGAGGCACCAGCAGTGGAGCCTGGTGATGGAGAGTGCGGTTCCCTCAGACCGCGGCAATTACACCTGTGTGGTTCAAAACAAGTACGGCACCATCACGCACACCTACCAGCTCGACGTACTCGGTAAGAACACCCGCTACTGCTGCTCAATGTACTCTGTAAGAACACCCGCTACTGCTGCTCAATGTACTCGGTAAGAACACTCGCTACTGCTGCTCAATGTACTCTGTAAGAACACCCGCTACTGCTGCTCAATGTACTCGGTAAGAACACCCGCTACTGCTGCTCAATGTACTCTGTAAGAACACCCGCTACTGCTGCTCAATGTACTCGGTAAGAACACTCGCTACTGCTGCTCAATGTACTCGGTAAGAACACCCGCTACTGCTGCTCAATGTACTCGGTAAGAACACCCGCTACTGCTGCTCAATGTACTCTGTAAGAACACCCGCTACTGCTGCTCAATGTACTCTGTAAGAACACCCGCTACTGCTGCTCAATGTACTCGGTAAGAACACTCGCTACTGCTGCTCAATGTACTCGGTAAGAACACTCGCTACTGCTGCTGGAACTCTGCAATGCACTCTGTGACTCTGGTCTGTGACTAACCTTCTCCTCTGGCCCCTGTGTCTCAGAGCGGCCCCCCCACTAACCTTCTTCTCTGGCCCCTGTGTCTCAGAGCGGCCCCCCACTAACCTTCTTCTCTGGCCCCTGTGTCTCAGAGCGGTCCCCCCACAGGCCCATCCTCCAGGCGGGGCTCCCGGCCAACCAGACGGTGGTGGTGGGCAGTGATGTGGAGTTCCACTGTAAGGTTTACAGCGACGCACAGCCGCACATACAGTGGCTCAAGCACATCGAGGTCAAAGGCAGTCGCTACGCTCCCGACGGGGCGCCATACGTCAACATACTCAAAGTAAGTGGGTCTGCAAATATGCTTCGTTACCAATGTGGTACCAAGGGTCATACATGTGGTACCAAGGGTCATCTATGTGGTACCAAGGACATCTATGTGGTACCAAGGGTCATCTATGTGGTACCAAGGGTCATCTATGTGGTACCAAGGGTCATCTATGTGGTACCAAGGGTCATCTATGTGGTACCAAGGGACATCTATGTGGTACCAAGGGACATCTATGTGGTACCAAAGGTCATCTATGTGGTACCAAGGGTCATCTATGTGGTACCAAGGGTCATCTATGTGGTACCAAGGGTCATCTATGTGGTACCAAGGGACATACATGTGGTACCAAGGGTCATCTATGTGGTACCAAGGGTCATCTATGTGGTACCAAGGGACATCTATGTGGTACCAAGGGACATCTATGTGGTACCAAAGGTCATCTATGTGGTACCAAGGGTCATCTATGTGGTACCAAGGGTCATCTATGTGGTACCAAGGGTCATCTATGTGGTACCAAGGGTCATCTATGTGGTACCAAGGGTCATCTATGTGGTACCAAGTCCATAAAAGTTCATAAATGTTGATAAAGATCCATAAATGTTGTTGGATGTTGAGCGTCCTGGATCATCACTGTCCTTTTAGTTAGACCTCAATAGAAATATGTTTAGATTCTTCATGTCTTTCCAGAATGTGTTTCTTTTTGTCTTGCCGCTTGAGTGACGAGCGTGTAACCACTGGAGCGTCAGGAATAGCCTTAGCGCCTTTTCCAAGATGGCAGCTCTGCCTCCCGCCCAGCTGCACTTTTATGTTGGTCTAAAAAGAGGACTTCAAGCCTTATGGTTTTCAGAGGCAGAAAACTAGGACTATGCAACATCTGGTTTGGACTAAGTTAAGTGCTGCGGTGGCGACGCCGCTGTTAGATGTTGCTGCGTTTTCAAAAAAGAGGAGACGAAGGCAGAGGGTTTGAAAAAAAGAAAAAGAAAAAAGTTGTGGAAAAAATGAGTGTGGGAGCAGCAAAAGGACAGCGTCAGCAGAGAGGGAGAGAGTGACGGGCGCTGGGTGCAGAGGCAGAGGAGGAGGCCCTGGGTGCAGAGGCAGAGGAGGAGGGTGCTGGGTGCAGAGGCAGAGGAGGAGGGTGCTGGGTGCAGAGACAGAGGAGGAGGCCCTGGGTGCAGAGGCAGAGGAGGAGGGTGCTGGGTGCAGAGACAGAGGAGGAGGCCCTGGGTGCAGAGGCAGAGGAGGAGGGTGCTGGGTGCAGAGGCAGAGGAGGAGGGTGCTGGGTGCAGAGACAGAGGAGGAGGCCCTGGGTGCAGAGGCAGAGGAGGAGGGTGCTGGGTGCAGAGGCAGAGGAGGAGGGTGCTGGGTGCAGAGACAGAGGAGGAGGCCCTGGGTGCAGAGGCAGAGGAGGAGGCCCTGGGTGCAGAGGAGGAGGGTGCTGGGTGCAGAGGCAGAGGAGGAGGGGGGTGCTGGGTGCAGGGACAGAGGAGGAGGGTGCTGGGTGCAGAGGCAGAGGAGGAGGGTGCTGGGTGCAGAGGCAGAGGAGGAGGGTGCTGGGTGCAGAGACAGAGGAGGAGGGTGCTGGGTGCAGGGACAGAGGAGGAGGGTGCTGGGTGCAGAGACAGAGGAGGAGGGTGCGGGGTGCAGAGACAGAGGAGGAGGCCCTGGGTGCAGAGACAGAGGAGGAGGGTGCTGGGTGCAGAGACAGAGGAGGCCCTGGGTGCAGAGACAGAGGAGGAGGGTGCTGGGTGCAGAGACAGAGGAGGCCCTGGGTGCAGAGACAGAGGAGGAGGGTGCTGGGTGCAGAGACAGAGGAGGAGGGTGCTGGGTGCAGAGACAGAGGAGGAGGGTGCAGAGACAGAGGAGGAGGGTGCTGGGTGCAGAGACAGAGGAGGAGGGTGCAGAGACAGAGGAGGAGGGTGCAGAGACAGAGGAAGAGGGCCAGACTGCGTGGATGTAATTGGGAAAATATCAGTAATAATTAGACGGGTCTGAAGAATACCAGAAAGAACCACAACTGATCGCAGACAAATGGCACCAGACGACACTGAGATCAAGCGCTAATGTCAGGACTGTAAATACTTACCATAGATGTTATTGTTGAAAACATGTTCAAATACAGATGTTATTGTTGAAAACATGTTAAAATACAGATGTTATTGTTGAAAACATGTTAAAATACAGATGTTATTGTTGAAAACATGTTAAAATACAGATGTTATTGTTGAAAACATGTTAAAATACAGATGTTATTGTTGAAAACATGTTAAAATACAGATGTTATTGTTGAAAACATGTTAAAATACAGATGTTATTGTTGAAAACATGTTAAAATACAGATGTTATTGTTGAAAACATGTTAAAATACAGATGTTATTGTTGAAAACATGTTAAAATACAGATGTTATTGTTGAAAACATGTTAAAATACAGATGTTATTGTTGAAAACATGTTAAAATACAGATGTTATTGTTGAATGTTGTGTCATGTGACCCTTCCACAGAGTTTTGTGAGCAAACGCACTGAGATCCACGATAAGTTCAAAATCTTCAATGTCTCAGAAAAAGACGCTGGAAAATACTGGTGCCGAGCCTCCAACTTTGTAGGAAAATCAGAACGGCCTTTCTGGCTTAAGATTCACAAACCAGGTAAAAAAGTGCGCTGCTCGAGGGCTGCGTCAGGGCTCTCTGCTTGGTGTGCTTAAGGTGGTGGCTTCATCTTTTATCTTTGAGTTCCAAACTTGTGTACATATATTTCATAAAGAAGTAGTATATTCATATCTACTGTAGTTCAAAATGCTCCAAATTCTTTCTAAAAACATGCACAATACAAACACTAAACCCACGCATTGTTGGAAAGATTCCAATAAATATAAATATTTGTCTGACTGATATTGATGGTAAAATGAACATTTCTTAATCATCACTGGTTAATACAATCTAACCCAATAATCAATATGCTGTAACTGTTTTATCTTTAAATAGACAGCGGTTAATTCAAATCATAATATGGATTTATTTTAGCTGTTTTAATAAGACTTTACTCTGAAAGCGAGGCCGGATGGGCTTTGATCTCCATGTGTTTAAAATGAAAAGGTGGAGTTGATATTTCAGTGGGTCTTCTTTAACTTGTGCAGGAAACTCCATATTTGGTCCAGTTTTATTCATTACCTTTGGCCTTTTCCACAGGCTCAGTTTGAACCACCACAAGATCTCTTTATCTTAATATTAATCTTAATATTAATCTTAGTCGCAACCACACGCTGCTCCAGATTAAATATTCTGTTTTTCAGCCCAAAGTTTTCTTTATCCAGTGATGGGCCTGGAACCCTTTCTTTATCCAGTGATGGGCCTGGAACCCTTTCTTTATCCAGTGATGGGCCTGGAACCCTTTCTTTTTGAGTTCAAGGGTCATGTGTCTCTGCTGTTATCCGCGGGTTTGCACATTAGATTAAATGATAAAATGATACAGATGGGCGGCACGGTGGCTGAGTGGATAGCACTCTCGCCTCTCAGCAAGAAGGTCCTGGGTTCGAATCCCGGTCGGACCAGGGCCTTTCTGAGTGGAGTTTGCATGTTCTCCCCGTGTCTGCGTAGGTTTCCTCCGGGTACTCCGGTTTCCCCTACCACTAAAAATATGTCCAATAGTTCTGGCATGTGCCTCCTGTACTGGCCCCGCTCCCATCTCTGTGTGGAGTGAGAGACAAATGCCCAACATTAACAATTGTAAACCGCTCTGAGACTCTGATCTGCAGTGAAAAGGCGGTATATAAATAAAAAACTTACTTACTTACTTACTTACTTACTATGGGCGGATAGTGAAAATAATGATGATAAAACATAAAATATATATAATAGTTTTGCAGCTGCACTAAAGATGAGTCCATTGGTAGAACTTAAACAGAAATGGAAAAAACTATTTTTTATAAAATATACAAGATCCAGAATAATGTTATATAAATG